CATTAGTATTGATCTACAAACATTTCTCTTTCTCATAGCACTTGATATATGACTTTCTGTTGGGGCATTCGCTTGCTACACTTCTTCAAACTAAAAGTGTGAAATTTTCTCAAAACTTTCCGGACAACTTGGTAACTTTACTGCAACTTTTGTTCATGAAACTTTCGAACTATTTTGAAACATTTTGAATTCTTAAAGTCGGCTCTACGCGATAAAAGTGTCATGGATAGTTGCTTTTCAGTTATGAAACAGTAGCTGATAAGTAATTCCCCGAAGAAGAAAAAAGCAAGAAGAGTCCTCAAGAACACCATAAACAAAATCGCTCCCTGACAGTCACACCTCCCTGCGGTCTCTGTGCAACCCCTGGCTCACAAATCCCTTTATCACATCTCCCAGTAGTGGATATCATCCAATGCAAAGAAAAGAATACGAAAAACAACAAACACGGAAGAAAAACTCTTGAAAAGGAAAAGAAACTTTCAAAAACTCGGCGTCCGAATTTAAGGGTTACGTAGCGTGCATCTTTTAGCAATGTAGTGCGTCGAGCTTTTGCACCACGAAAATTGGGTCGCTCGTGATTTTTACGCGTTTACCTTGCGAGATGGGTTGGAGTTGACTGTATGTGCTCCTAATGAATAAAATGTAATAAAGGAGAGCAGAATCATTCATGGGCACGAGCGCGGTCAGCAAAAAGGGCATGCAATTCCGATTAATGCCCGCCGCCCCAACAAAGAACAACTGAGCGGCCCTCCGTCAGAGGGCATCTAGCAAGTGGGCGGTCCAACTGGGCGGGCGTTAGAACTAGAACTTTCAGCGGCTGTAGCTCGCTCCTCGCTCGCTGTGGAGTCGCGAGAGTGGGATAGTCTCTAGCTTGGGGGCTGTACTACTTGCACGAAGGACGTCCATGTACTACTTGAGCGCGGGACTGTCTTTAAAATTAACTGAAGTTGAACTCCCCAAGGAGCCAAACATATTAGATCAAAGGATTCTGTACACGACAGTATGGAATCCACAAGCAAGTTAAAACTGTTCATGAAACTGAACTCTATCTGGACCAATATATATACCATTTTCACTTTAAATCGGACACTTTTCAAACCAAATCGGACACTTTTCAAACCAAATCGGACACTTTTCAAACCAAATCGGACACTTTTCAAACCAAATCGGACACTTTTCAAACCAAATCGGACACTTTTCAAACCAAATCGGACACTTTTCAAACCAAATCGGACACTTTTCAAACCAAATCGGACACTTTTCAAATCAAATCGGACACTTTTCAAACCAAATCGGACACTTTTCAAACCAAATCGGACACTTTTCAAATCAAATCGGACACACCCCTTACAATTAGGTGGTTGATAACTAGACCACACTAGGTACTGTTGCAAGCCCCGCCCCATTATCCCCGCCCACTTCTCAGCGCGGACAGGGTTTTCCGAGATGCTTCATGAAATCTGCTCCCTCGACTTTTTTTCGTTTTTGCCCTTTGCACACACACTTCAACTGATACCTATACAGATCTGACTCCGCCCACTTAACAATGAAGTTACGTAAGTTCTGAATTTTTATAACTTTTTTCGACGTAGTTTTTTCACATCCAATCTTCACAAAACGAATAACCATGCACAGCACACCAGGCCCCGCCCTCACTGAC